ATCTTGCCAGACACAGTGAGTATGTAATAAATATTTATCCCCACCTGCTTGAGTCACATTCTACTTATTTGTGAAATGTAGATAACATCTACCCTGCAACCTCATAAAGTTGTGAAAACCAAATAAAACTATAAACTTAGAAAGAGTTGTAAATTATGGAATAGTCTTTAATAGTTATTATTAAAATTATTATAGATAATAACAATATTGATGATACATTTATATTTTGCTAAGATATTTGCATATCCCCCTATATTCTGGACCTAAAAGGTTTTTGATTAATGATATGAGTAGTAATTTTCACATATTTTAATGTATTTGTGATCTCACTGATTCTCTCCAGTGATACATCTGACCGTCCAGTGTTAACCTTGTCTAAGACTGTTTATAAGTGGTGGTGTTAAGTATTTTCACTGATAACCTAAATAATTGTTGTTGTATTTAATATCAAAACTCACAAACACACACCACCATCCTTAATAATTATAGCAACCTATCATTATAAATGAGAAGTTAGGTGGCTCAGCAGATAGATCACTGGGCCTGGAATCAGAAAGACCTGAGTTCAAATCTATTGGCCAAGACTTACTAACTGTGTGACCCTGAGCAAATCATTTAACCCTGTTTGCTTCAGTTTCCTCATCTATCAAATGAGTTAGAGAAGAAAATGGCAAACCACTCCAGTATCTTTGCTAAGAAAACCCAAAATGAAGTCTTGAAGAGTTGAACACAATGAAATGTCTGAACAACAACAAAACAATTATTGATAACCATAAAACACTTATCATAACCCTTTCTGTGTCATGGACCCTCTTGTAAATCTGGTGAAGCCTATAGCCATCTTCTCAAAATAATGTTTCTCATATACATACATACATGTATATATATATTTATGTTATATATATAATTATATATAAAACTATATATATATAATTATAACAGAATTATAATGGCAACCAAAGATTAGTGAAAAATATATATATATGTATTTTTTTTTCTATCAAAGCTCATGGACCACTTGATGTTGGTCCATGAACTCCTTGGAGGTCCAGTGGACCTTAGGTTAAGAACCCTTCAAACCATAAAACTTACACAACATACCACTGATAGTTACAATAGAGTGATATGTAACAATTAAATGGTTGAAAAAAATAATGTAAGTGAAATAAAAATAGTATTATTCATTTCACAAGCATTTGTAAAGCAGCTGCTATATTCCAGGCACTTAGATACAATTTTAAAATATCAGTCCCTATTTTTAAAGAAATTATATTTGATTGGGGTCTATGGAGAGAGGGAATGAAAATATGTACTTTGAAAACTAGGTAGAAAATGAATCCTAGCAAATTTGATGTTTCTTGTATGTAATACTTCATCTCCCAACTCTATGCTTTTTCACTGGCTTTCTCTCATGTCTGAAATGATCTCCTTCCTCACCTCTATCTCCTAGTTTCCCTGGCTTGGTCAAGACTCAGCTCAAATCCTACTTTTTTGCATGGGTCTCTTCCCACTTCTCACCCCACCTCAATACTAGTGATTCTCTTACTGTATAGCCTCTGTGTGTGTATATGTGTGTGTATGTGTGTGTGTTCATACACATTCACATGGATAGAGACAGACAGATGGATGGATAGATAGAAAGATACATAGACAGATAGATACATAGATACATAGATGCTTAGATGTTTTCTCTCCCATTAGAATGTTAGGTTTTGAGGGCCTAGACTAAACTTTTGCAGGGGATTTTTTGTTTGTTTTGTAATCCCACTGCTTAGCAAAGTACATTCTTAGTAAATGCTTATTGACTGACAAAGTAATTTAAGGAGGGAAGGGCACTGGAAACTGAGGATATCAAGGTAGTCTTCCTGTTGGAGGTGACAGATGAGCTAAGTTTTATAGAATTTTAGGGATTCCAATGGGCAAAGGTGAAGTGGGAGTACGTTCTAGGCATAGCGGAGACTTTGTGCAAAGGCACAGAGAAAGGAGATTGAACATGATGTACAACCTGGACAGTTTAACTTGAGCATAACTTTCATGAAAGAGAATAATGTACCATAATCCTAGAAAGGAAGGCTGGGGCCAGATTGTGAAAGTCCAAAATCAAAAAGATAAATTTCTTTTTTATCCTATAAAATAGAAAGACATGGGTACTTCTTGAGCAGAGGGTATTATTTTGTAACCTGTACTTTAAGAATATCAATTTGACAGCTATGTAGAGGATGGACTAGAGAGGGAAGAGACTGGAGGCTGGGGAAAAAAATAACATTCCGGGTAAAAAGAGGTAAAGTTCTTAACAAATGTGATGATTATGTGAGTGGTAATAATTTGAGGGATTTGAAATTTATTATGAAATAAAATTGACAATACTAGGCAACTGATTTGATAATAGAATAATATATATGAGAGTGTTATGCAGAATACGTTCATAAAAATGAAAAGATTAACCCTATTCCCCTACAGACAAAGAAGCAGTATTTTAAATGCATATGGAAACCCACTGGGGTCTAATTTCTATATCCAAATGACTAAAAGGAAAAAGTAGTCAGATAAGTACATATAAACATAAATACAAACATACACATGATATACACACATATGTACACACATTTATAAATGCATATATATATGAATCATGACCTACTATAAACTTTTATCATGATTTTCTCTTCCCCCATTTTTCTTTCTTTTTTTTCCCCAAAAGCATTGATAAAGCCTCTTTCTTTACAGTAGCACAAAACACTTAAATTTTCAGTCACTCTAAAGGTTTAAATTATTAGTCAATAAGATAACCTTATTAATTGAGGAATCACAATACACAGGGCACAAAGGAGTAAAAACATGACCTCTAAGGAGTCACCTTCATGAGTGATCTTCATGAATATAGAAATAAGAATGATGACATCTCTTTTAGGCACTATAAATACAGTAATGCCTGAAGAAGAGACTGGATATATTGAAGTTTGAAGGGCATGTCACACTCAATAGGTCAAGTAAACTAAAAAGTCAGAACACTTTAGGCACGAGAAAAAGAATGTAACTATGAAAGCGCCTATAAAAAATTTTTAAAAATCGGTAGGGGAATAAAAGAGATTAGAATAAAGTTGATGTCTATAAAATGCTAATAATTCTTGATAAGGGGAGCAGGAAATGGTTCATCAAATTAAAAAATACCAGAATTCTTTTCAACATCTTTTCAGTTTGTCAGAGTTTATTCTAGGATGAACAAACAGAAATATTATTAGGTGCACAGTGTAGTTCTAGATATCAAGTTTAGTCTAGATACCACTGGTGATAGGTAGGTAGGTAAATAGATAAATAGATAGATAGATAGATAGATAGATAGATAGATAGATAGATAGATAATGCTATTAATATACCATAGTGTAAATATAATATGTAATAAATATACTGTAGTATAGATAGTATAGTATATATAATAATATATTATAGTATATAAAATTATATATAACAATGTAATATAATATGTGTACATAGTCATCTTTCTTTTCCTGATTACAATATATTTGAGTAGATTGGGAATACATAAAAAGTGAAAGAAAATAAGCGAAATAGAAGTACAAGATTACATTACAAAATAAAACCATAAACCAGAGTAAGATTAAGTACACTGGAATGGTACCTGAGTGGGGAACCTGTGACCTTCTAGGTCCTTGGGTGTGACCTTTTGACAGAGTACAAGTTTTACAGAATAAATCCTTTTATTAAGGGGACTTGTTCTGTGAAGTTTGGATTCAGTCAAAGGGCTGAACTTGAGGACCTAGACTCAAGGCTGCAGGTTTCCCACTCCTGTATAGAGAGTAGTTACTATGAACTCAGAGGAGTGAGGGATTACTATGAGCTGGGGTGGTCTGGGATATTTCATAGTTCATTGGCTTTGTCCAGATGAGTATGGTTAGATCATTAGAATGGAAAGAATACTCAAGACAGTAGGAATGGCAGAGGCTAGAAGTACATTTGGTCCTCTATGAACACACTAACACTGCTGACATGGCAGCTGTGCACAGTGGCAATGTGGGAGATAAGATCTGACAGGTGAGTTGGAGTCAGACTGAAGAGGGTAGTCATGGAGATAATAGGGCTTAAGAGAGATATGAATATTGAAGCATACATCCCCAACATTCTGACTTTGATGTTATGATACAACACAAGTTGTCCCTTGATGCCACCGTCAGAAATCAGACTCCCTGTGGCATTTTTTATTCAACCAACCCACCAATAGAAATTGAATATACATAGTTTTCAACAATAGAGACATAAGAAAACAATTATTCACTGCCCTGACACCTCAGACTTGTAATACATTTCAAACTATAGTCATAGGACAAAAGTTAAACCATGTTCTTAGTAAGATGGCTTTTAATATCTTTTCAGATACGGACAAAAACAGACAAAATAACATGACCATGTAGTCTTTCGATATGCCTTAGAATAGTAATATCTTCTTCTAGAAAAGAACTCTCCCATTCAAAAAGTTGACTACTCTTTCAGAAAAAAAATGACTATTATTTCCCATACTTATCTTGAGATAACAACAGTCATATGTTTTCTTAAAAGCACTAGATACTAAATTCGACCTTTTTAGGTAAACTCAATTTCATTAAAAATTAAGTTCAGGAGTCAAAAATCTGCATGTCCACAGTTATAAAAATATTTGTGATTCCATCGACTGCCTTGCTGGCAATAGCAAAAAATGATTCAGGTTAACAAAGCCCTGACTGCATTTCTAACTACAGCTGACTCAATTCCCCAAGGGAAATGGAAATCTTTGAATTCCTGCTAATGTGTTTGTTTCCCTCGATAGCTCTATTGATGTCAAAAGTCTCCGCATTCTTCCAATGACCCAATTATACTTGTGAACCGCTATTGACTAAGAGTAGTATCATCTTAGTTGGCAGACTGTGTCTAGTAGGGAAAATCAGGCAAGCTTACCAAAAAGTAGCTAGAAAAAAGCAGGTGCAAAGAGATGCTTTTTGACTTACCACAGTGTAGATCTGATGCTTGCGTCTTTTGGCCAAATCAATTACGTTAACTCCATTATAATAAAGGTTTTCAATACATCCATGAAAGTTTTTCTTCAGGAATGTTCCTGGTTTGCCTGGGACTGGAATCCCTCCAAAACTGAGCTTTGGGGAAAAACAAATTCAACCCTCAGTTATAAATTGCAAAGGAGCAGGAAACGTAATAAAAAAAAAAGAGTACATTTTGCTTTATCCAATTGTATGCTTGAGCCAAGTGGCTCAAATAATTATAGACTGCCACTTGATTATACATTGAAAAAGATACTGATTAGCCCACTTAAAAATAACTATAATTGCTGGCTTTTTAGGAGCCTATTTTACAAAACCTTTTTTCTTATCCTTTCCGAACCCGTTAAAACTAAATAAAACAATAATTTGCAAGAAAGGAGAAAAAAAAATAAAAGAAAATCGAAGTCCTTACATTTATTTCATGCACAAGAATCTACAGCAACAGGGTCATTCACTGAATAGCTAAAGAAAAACCAAAACACTAGTTCTACCAGCTACCAATCTAAGAAGCAGGTCAGTTGGTAATATGGTTAGCAAACAACTAACTTTTATGAAACACATGGGGAATATAATGTTTCTAATCATTACATATCCTCTTCACCTATAAAGTTTTCCCATCTCCTCATCTACACTTATTCTGCTCATCTTTCAGAGCCTAGAACAACCTACATGAAGTCTTTCTTAACCATTCTAGTTCACTTTGATTTTTCCCTTTCCTGACTCTTCAAATTAACTTTGTATACCATTTAATTGACATCTCATTATCTACAGACTCATCCACTAGATATTTAAGGTATATTAGTCTTCTCTTAAATAAATATTCATCCATTGATACTATACATCTTCAAATAATTAATATTTGAGATACCCCAAAGGCACACCATGGGCATTTGTATCCTGCAACACATTACCAATGATACACTGTGCCAAAGAAGTAGCAAAAAAGGATGTCATTAAAGAAACATACATCTAGAAAAGGAGGTTAATCTAGAAAAGGAGTGAGATTAAGAGATAACCAATGGAGAGTCCAGGCACTTCTTTATTGTTCAGACATAGAACAAGTCCTCTAGTCTTTTGGTGGAACTAGTGTTAAGTATTTACAGGAGGTCATCAGTGACAGTCATACAGGATGAGAAAAGAAGGATGAACTGTAATCAATAATACAGTTCCATTGGAGTACTCACATCAATAAGACCATAGGCCCACTGAAGTACTGGAGAAGTCTCATATCCTTAGCTAGATTGTAGGGTCCTTATGAGTTAGGCTATAGTTCTATGCTTCTTTTGAATTCTTTCCCTGCCACCCAAACAACCATAGTATCTAGCACAATGCTAAACATTAATATGTGAGTTAGGTAGAGTGTGGATAAAGTGCTGGGTTGTGAGTCAAAAAAAGACCAGTCCAATTTCAACCTCAGACACTTGTTAGCTATGTGACCTTGGGCAAGTCACTAAATCCTCAATTGCCTCAGTTATTGCCTTTCATCTATAAAATGGTAAAAAATAATAGTACATATTTCCTCGGGTGTTGTGAGGATAAAATGAGATAACATTTATAAAGCACTTTACAAACTTTTAAGTTTTACATAAGTACTACTTATTAAATATTTATTAATTCAATGAGGACTCGATAATTTATCAGTGTTACCCAGGAATGTTCAATTTTTTCATTCTAATCTCCCCCACTCATTTTTTAATAATTAATTATCATGAATTCCTCAAGTTTTTAAAAAATTTTTTCTAGCTTTTGATGTTCACACATGTTTCTTTCTTTAACTATGATATATATACATGTATACAATAAATATACACATGCAAATGAGATACATGTATACATATGTACTCTATAGGTTTGTATATTAATACACATGTTCATAGTATATGGATGCATAAATATACATATATCAACATTAAATGACATAATTTTCCAAGATCTTCCTATATGACAGACATCCTCTTTCATAACTTTAAAAAGGAACAAAATTTACTTCTAATTAACTGTTTCCCTGGTAGCTATAATGCATTACTGCAATGTAGTCCTTCACCTAGAGGCAGATGAAAAAATTTTGAATGTGAACCTGGGAACAGAATGCAAATCAGTCATAGAAGAGCCAACTTCTTTAAATATAGATAGGCTTTTTAAATGTACACAGGTTCATTACAAGGGCAGTTAAACACCTTGTCCAATATCTTTAGGTAATTAAATTATACATTTTATTCTTTATAATCCTCTCTAGTCCTTGTATGGTCATGAACTTTTTTGTAACCCATAGTTCTTATTAGTATTTTCCCATGTTTTTCTAATTTGTTCATCATGTGACTTTTTCTCTGTACATCATGTGTCCATTTGGAGCTTTTTTTTGTATAAGATGTGAGGTATTGGTCTAAATCTATTTTTTCCCCATACTGCTATCTGATTTCCCCAGTAGTTTCTGTCAAATTGTAAGTCTTTATCCCAATACTTGCGGTCTCTGGGTTTATCAAATATTAGGTATTTGATACATTTGTTTCTGTATGTTATGTACATAAACTGTTACACTGACTGATCTATTTCTTCAGTAATATAAAATTGTTTTAATAATAACCACTTCATAGTATATTTTGAGAACAGGCACTACTAAACCTTTCTTCTCATTTATTTTTATTATTTCTCTTTAGAATCTTATTCTTTTTTTTCTCCTCCATAAAAGCTGTATTATTGTTTTTAGTTCTATAAAGTAATACTTCAGCAGTTTGATTGCTGTGGTATTGCATAAATATACTAATTTAGAGAGTGTTGCATTTTCCAATATTTCTGTACTTGCTTACATTATAAGGCAACATGACATAATAGATAGACTTCTGAGCTTGGAGTCAGACAACCTGCTTTCAAATCCTGCCTCAAATACTTACTAGCTAGGCAAGTCACTTACTTTCCACATGAAGATTTTTTTAAGAAGACACAGATCCTTCCTGCATGTGCAACATAAGTAAGGAAAGTTTTCTGTTCCTTGCTTCATGGTAAAATATTAAGCCATTAATTGACATTGTGATTTTTAGCTACTTTGTGTCACTCATGTCACCCCATTGGACTGCAGTTTCTTCATAACTAAAATGTGAAATTTAGACTATACAAAATTTCAGTTCCCCATTGTAGTAGAGTATGAGATTTTGAGTCAAAATAAGGGTTTATGGCCATTTTGGTTTATGCCGTTTTGTTACCTTTGACAAACTATTTGCCTTCTTTGGACTTTATTTTTATCAATGTCAAAACAAGAGTGCTTTAAATAAAAACTCAGCCAAGATGGCAGAAAAAAGGCAGTGATATGCCTGAGCTCTCCCCAAAACCACTCTGAACACTATTAAATAATGCCATAAAAAGTTCCTGGAGCACACCAGAGCTTGTGGCCACAGTGAAGTAGGGACCCTCGTCACAGTTACAGGGCAGAAAAGAGTGCTTATGGTCACTCACAGACCGGAGTACAGACCAGGAGAGCAGTTAATAGACCTCAACTTAGATCATACTACCTTAGAAGAACTGAAAACTTACAGGTCCCTAGAAATATCTCTGAAAACAGCTGCACAAAACTCCTGAAGTTTGGGACAGTGTGTCCTTCACCATGGAAGCAGAGCCCTCCTTTAACAAAGATTTAAAAGTCAAGATATAGTCTGGGAAAATGAGCAAATGACAGAAAAAGTAATTCTGACAATAGAAACATAGATAATACTGACAATATAAAAATTAAAACAAATATGGTGACAAGGAAGATCAAAACACACACTCAGAAGATAACAAAGTGAAAGCTCCTACACGCAAAGCCACCAAGAAAATTATGAATTGGTCTCAGGCCATGGAAGAGCTCAAAAAGGATTTTGAAAAGCAAGTTAAGATACGCAGAGGGAAAATCAAGAAGAGTGGTGAAAGAAAATCATGAAAAAAATGAGTCAGCAGCTTGGTAAAGGAGGAAAAAATATACTAAAGAAACAACAACTTAAACAAGAGAGTAGGCCAAATGGTAGAAGAGGTACAAAAAGGCAATGAAGAGAAGATTGCTTTTAAAAAGCAGAATTGGACAAATGGGGAAAAGATATACAAAAATTTACTAAAGAGAAAAATTCCTTAAAAAGTAGAATTGACCAAATGGAAAAGGAGGTACAAAAGCTTATGGAAGAAAATTATTTCTTAAAAATTAAAATTGAGCAAATAGAAGCTAATGACATTATGAGAAATCAAGAAATTATAAAACAAAACCAAAAGGATGAAAAAAAATATAACACTGAAATATCTCATTGGGAAAAAAAAAAAGACTGACCTGGAAAACAGATCTAAGAGAGGTAATTTAGAAATTTCTGGAGGGCTAAAGATCCAGGATTACAACCAAGAATCATTTACCCAGAAAAACTGAGCATAATCCTTCAGGGGGGAAAACAGTTATTCAATGAAATAGAAGACTTTCAAGCATGCTTGATGAAAAGACCAGAGCTGAACAGAAAATTTGACAAGACTCAAGAGAAGCATAAAAAGGTAAAAAGGAAAGGGAAATCATACTAAGGTTAAACTGTTTACAATCCTACATGGGAAGATGATACTTCTAACTCATAAGAACTTTCCAATCATTAGGACATTTAGGAGTACATATAGACAGAGGACACAGGCATGAGTTGAATATGAAAGGATGATATCTAAAAAATAAAATTAAGAGGTGAGAGACAAATGTACTGGGAGAAAGCGAAAGTTGGAAGTAGAATGGGGTAAGTTTTCTCACATAAAAGAGGCAAGAAAAAGTTTTTACAGTGGAGGGGAAGGGGGGGAATAAGAGGGAGTGGATGAACCTTAATCTTATCAGAATTAGCTCAAAGAGGGAATAGTATACACACTCAATTGGTATAGAAATCTATCTTACCCTACAGGAAAGAAGGAGCAGAAGAAGACAAGAGAAGGAGGGGGAGGGTAATAGAGGGGAAGGCAGATTGGGGGAGTGGGTAGTCAGAAGAAAAATATTTTTGAGGAAGGACAGAGTGAAAGGAGGGAGAGAATGGAATAAATGGGAGGGTAGGATGGAGAGAAATGTTTAGTAACAGCAACCGTGAAAAAAAAAATGGAAGCAAGTTGCTCTA